TTTTGAGTTAGATGAAGGTGAGAACCTTTTCTTCACACAGCAGTGTCAAATTTGTTTTGAGATCTCTTGATGTGCTTAGATTATTTTTTTTTATAGCAATTTTTTCTCGGTTATGCTTGGAGGAGCTTTATTTTACCTTGCTGTCAGGGAAAGCTTAACAGTTCTCAACTCAGGAACATGGGGCTTCTTTTTCTATTTAAATTTAAATAAAGCAAGGGAACAGAATCCCAGAATCCTTTCCAAAGCAAAGTGTGTCAGCCAACACTGTATCAAACATGAGATTCCTCTTCTTTTTTTCCCCACGGAAGAATGCAGTGATGAGTTTTAATCTAACTAGAACTGCTTGTGTTGTTGCCCTGGGCTGTTTCAGAAGTGATTAACACATGAAGGGACAATGGCATTGCTGCGTCCATGCTTGCTTCTTGCTTAAGTTTGAGATCAGCTCGTTTGCTAGCTGTTGGGACCTTTTGAGGAAGGGGAAGAAAACCCAATACCAGTGGACTCGTGTGACGGCAGAGCCGATTCATCCGATCCGGTGAAGCCTAATGAGGTAGTAAAATGCGACACGAGCAGGCATGAGACTTCTGTTGAGTGTTGTTACTTGAACATCTGGAATCTCATCTCCTTTGCTATACTCCGGAGCTTTTGGGTTACTCCAGAGCTTTAGTCCAAGCCAGGAACTTGGTAGTTGTTAGTCTCCAAATGAAATTAGTATAGCCAAAGGATCAAGAGTCCTGGGAACAAGCTTCCAAGTAGCAGTGGTCACTGGGAACCCTGCCTACTTCACTCTTCATAAATCAAGCTTTTTCCAGGGTAGGATTTTTTCATCTTAAATTCCTCTTCGGTAAGGTCACCAAGTACCGTGGATGTACAGCTTGAATCCTGTGATGCTTTCCACTATAGGCTTGGGAATTTGAATCGAAGTGTAAGGACTGCGGGACTTGGCCCTTGATTTATGGCTTGCAGTGTTTCAGCTTCACTCAGGTTTTTGGACTTGTATCAAGCACTAAGCTTGAAGAAAGCACATGTGCACTTAACGCACACAGTAGGTAACAGGAGAGACCTCATCAGCCAGGGCAGAGACGAAATAGATTTTTTTGAAAGTGAGGAACGTTGCTTTTGAAAAAATTCTATGCATTCTTTGAAGTTTCCAAACCAGCACGGAAATATAAATGCCTTCTTTGACTGAACTGCCAAGATCTGAGCTAGTACTTCATATGCTCTGCTACTGTTTATCAAGAGCATTTGAAGAATAAAAAGAAAGGAGCTCTACTTTAAGTACTGCTGTGTAGAATGGGCTTTAATGCTGGTGAAGAAGTTACCTTGGTTCCCGTAATGAGCTTGGTGGAAATAAAAAGTAATGCAAAGCAGCTCTTACGCTTTATGGTGGGACATAGCGTCTGGCAAGTGAAGCGGCCTGTTAAGTGCTGCTCTAGGTGCCAGCGGTAGGCATGAGTAACCGCTGTAGAGGGAAATCTGAGTCGTATTTCGTAGGTAGGAAGAGCATGGATGAACCCCGAATTCACAGTTCTGTTCTTAAAGTGGAAAAATGACTTTGGTAAAATCCATTTTATGCCAACCTTAGATAGCCTGTTGTTAGCAGTGTGGCTTCCTGGAATTCTTTTTCCCCAAAACAGTCGCTTTTACAGTAGTGGAAAGAACAGCAAGGCATAGCTTAATTGGGAGGAAGTGCAAGTCACTTCACCAGTGTGATGCGTTGAAGACAGCGGGCGTAGCAAGGTGGTTCAGGGGCATGTGTCACCTTTGACGTGCCCAGCTGTATTCTGATTTGAAAGGCGGGTGGGTTCTGCAAGTTTGAAAAGGTAGTAAGAACTTGCAGTTGTACACTGCGAATAAGATGTTTGATCGTTATGAATTGCCTTTTTGTCTTCCTGAGCCAGAGCTGATACGAGGATTATTGTTGCTTCAAGGCTGGGGAGCTGTGAAGGGGGTTGTCCTGTAGCCAGCAAACAGGAAGGTGAGCTTCTGTAGGTGTGAAGGGGCCTGCGAAACCTAACCTCATCCTCTCCAGGGCGAACGGGCAGGCCTGCAACAGCAGCACGTCTTAAATAGGAGGGAGAGAGGCTGACCTTCAGCTCATGGCCTCTGATGCCTGTAACCAAACGTGTGGCTGAAAATGCTTTCGTTTCCAAGTGTAATACGATTAAAACGAACTCTTAATGTGCTGGGCTCGTAAGTCTTGTTAGGCCAGTCAAATTCTCTTTGTTTTTGCCAGGATAGCTTTGTACCTGCAAAAACTTTTTGTATCCAAAGATGTTAAAACTTTCATTTTGTCTGTTTCAGATTTTTCCTTTAGCTGCTGAAATTTCCACCTGCCCTTCCGATGTCTATTTTTTCTAGGGAATCATTACGCAGGCTTCCTCAGGGCGCTCACTTTTATGCAGAGAATTTGCTTTGTAAACAGGTCGTGGATTTTCCTTGCAGGAGGAAGGGAGGCGAGAAACAAGAGAAGAGAAACATCGTGATTCATAGCTCATGTTTACTCTTTGGTGGAGCTAACTGTGCTGCGTAATAGGCGGTCACAGGACAATAAGCACTGCACGTTCCCTTGGTATTTGGGGAGGATTACTGTTTGTTACTAGCTGCTAGCTTACATCTTTGAGGGTCACAAGTGGGCAGCGGGCCAGGAGCGTGCTTTGACTGCTGCTGGACCGGCAGGGTCGCTGTCAGCCTCTTGAAGGTGAGTACGCGGCAGGAATGTAGAAACCCGCTTTCCCTGCATCCGATCTACCACCGTCGCCTTCCCCAGACTTATTTGTTCCAAATCCTGCCCCTGCAGGTAAGGAGTTCGGTTGAACTGGAAGTCTTAAGCGTTTAAGCCAGGTTCTGTCTGATGTCCATAAGCGTGTCTTGGCCTTGCTGTGTATGGGAGGGCTTTTCTGCTTGCGCCACTCGGCTTCTGGTGTACCTCGTTCCTTCTTGGAGGGCTGCTTTTTGGTTTATTTAGCAACAGCTTTGCCTCACCTGCAGTGCCTGAACAGCAGCAGAAGTCACGTCATCTGCGGTATCCACATCTGCAGTGCTCACGGAAGGCGCCTTCCTTTTCTGTTGGAGTCTGTTGAAGCTGCACGAGAGTTTTCTTCTCCTTTCCCCCTCCGGACTCTCAGCAGAGCACCTGCTTCAGTTACCAAACCAAACCTCCTCTGTTTTTGGATGCCGAGTGCAATAAAGGTTGCCAAGATGTGCCGGCTGAACTGTGTGAATGGAGTTGTGTGTAGAGAGTTGTGTGTACGGGGCACGCTGTGGCTTAAAGGCAAAACTTGCAGATTAAACGACCCGGACCCTTCCTGGGGATGCAATCCGGCTGCTGTACGTTCACCTGCCGGCTTTCACGAAACCTCCTCTGTTTTTGGATGCCGAGTGCAATAAAGGTTGCCAAGATGTGCCGGCTGAACTGTGTGAATGGAGTTGTGTGTAGAGAGTTGTGTGTACGGGGCACGCTGTGGCTTAAAGGCAAAACTTGCAGATTAAACGACCCGGACCCTTCCTGGGGATGCAATCCGGCTGCTGTACGTTCACCTGCCGGCTTTCACGACAACTGCAGCGATCCGGCTGCTGGGCTGTACGTTCACCTGCCGGCTTTCACGAGCTTCGGCAACTGCAGAAAGGGAGGGAAATCGCGCATGAAGAATGACCCATGCTCCAGTGTTGTATAAAATGGAGATGGTTTATGCTCACGTTGAGCTCTGTGATCGTTCCTTGCCGCTGCCTGGAACGGAGCCTGTTTGCGGGCACAAACCTTAGAGGGCAGCATCGGCTTCATCAGCTCTGTCCCAGCTCTCTCCTCTCTCGTCCCAAAGCCCTTGAGTGGCACCAGAAAATGAGTAGAAGGAGAAACGAGCGTTTTGGAGTTACAAAGATACCACGTTTACCGTAGGAAGCGCGAGGAAGGGGTAGGGATGTTGCTTGTGACGAAATGCTTAATGGAGTCGGGCAGGAGCCCTCCACGCTGAAGTGAAACTCAGAGGAAAATACCCTTAAAGCACCTTTATTTTAGGCTCCCCCTGCTCTGCAGGTGTGCAAAACGCATCTCTGGAGATGGCATTAAAACCGGAGGTGCTGCCATCGAGGCGCGGGTGTGAGGGGCAGCCGGCCCTGGCTCGTTAGGGCTAATTGTGGACCGTGGCAGCTGTAGTGAGGGACGAGGCGGCTGCAGGGACCTGCGGCCTGAGGAGACCTGCCCGGCCGGCTCCAGCCCCGCCGGGACCTGCTGGAGATGGGGTGCAAGAAAGAGCCACCCCAAACCCCTGAGACCACCACCACCACGCTCCCCCACGGCTTTAGTCAGTATTAATTGCTTAAATAGTCGTTAGGAGAGGGATGGGGCTGTGTTGCGGCCAAGCTCCCTGAGGGGAGCTGGGTTTGGGGTCAGGGCACAGCAGCCGCTTGCTGTTTTTCTTGATCTTTTTTTTTTTTTTTTCTCCGAAGTTCTTAAGATTTACTGGTTGGCTGCTAAAATGTCACTTCTGGTGAATGTTTTCTAAGAAAAAGATGCAAAACAGCGTGCATGCATCAATACTTCAGAAAATCAGCTGTGAAGCTCTGCACTGTTTCCTACCCCTTCCACCACCGAGCGACGCTGGACGCGCTTTGCGCTTTACATTTGAAAATTTATTTTTATTTGCAGGGTTTACCTCATTTTTCATTTTTATTTAATCATGGGGAGTGGGCTTTCCCTGTGCGCCGGCCCCAGGGAACACTGTTTCCTACCCCTTCCACCACCGATTCCCAAAACGCAAACGCGACGCTGGACGCGCTTTACAAATTGCCTTTGAAAATTTATTTTTATTTGCAGGGTTTACCTCATTTTTATGATTGATTTAATCATGGGGAGTGGGCTTTCCCTGTGCGCCGGCCCCAGGGAAAGGCGCCGGACACCTTTTCGGTGCCACAGGGCCGTGCCGTGCCCCGCCTGGCCGCAGGGGTGGCAAAAATCCCACAATTTAGACTGTTTCCACCAGGTTTTGAGCCCGGCGTGTCTAGCAGGAGGGAGTTCGGCCCTTGCACAGAAAGTTGGGGTAATTCTTGTAATAGTTGTGGTAGGTCGCGGCTGTCCTTTGGAAGCACTCTGCCGCCTGCCTGTCGCACTCACAGCTCTGTCTTTCGCACTGAGATGTGGATCCTGGAAGAAAATTTGGGGGGATGGAGTCAGGCGAAGGGTGCGAGAGTCGGGGATGTCCTTTTGGACCATCCCCGCGGTGTACGCAGCCCCCCCCCATTGTGTTTGGGGTGTCTCGGGTAGTCCTCCTCTTACCTCTGGTGCGTGGAGCTACCTGGCTACAAACCATCCGTGGCCCTGGAGGGACCGTTTAATTTACTTTATCTGCCTATGTATGTATGTGTGGATCTTTGCTTTGATCACAGGGAAGCGCTTTGTTTCGATCCGCTCGCCATGAAACAACATCATTTTGCTCTGGGGAAATCGGGGCAGCAGTGCCAGGTCCCCCTCCAAGATGGGAGGGTCACCTCAAACCCCCTGCAGAAGGGCAAGCCCCCTCCTTTGGGAGTTCTCCAAGCTCTCAACTTCACCATAGTCCTGACAAATAAATGTTTGCCCTATTCCTGGCACCTTTCCCTCATTTCCACCCCCTTCCCAGCAAGTGGTTTCCGAGCCAGGATGGTCTACGGGACATCTCAGAAGAGAGGTCCCCCGAGAGCGTGGATGGCTGTGCCTTCCCGCTCGGGGCTTTGACCCCGCGCCGTCTCTTACCGCAGATTATCTGGCGTCCCCGGGTGAAGTATTTGTACGTGACCAGTTTGGGTCTGCAGTGAGAGGAAGACAGCTTCTTGTAACAGCAGTCGTGGGCATGGCAGCACCTGGGAGCCAAAGAGTTGCGGTCAGGGCAGGACGGGGAGCGGTGGGGACGATACTACGGCGGTGAACGTCTTGCATTTGTGCCCAGGTTAGGTGCACGGTCGTGCAACAGCCTTGTTCTCCTCGGCATTGCCCGTGCCGCCGGAGGGAGGGAGGGAGGGAGGGTGACTCATGCCTTTCTGGCATCGTCAGCACAGTTCTCTAATTGCTTTCCCATTTCTCCGCTGCAGCCACTTTGCAGAACACCCAACGGCTGCTTTCGATGAGCCCAGGTGGCAGTTAGATCCCGACGCATTTCTGCCTAACGCTACAAAGGCAGAAGAAACACCGATGCGCAGCGTTCCCATCAGCTGCTGCCACTAAGCAACTTTTAAAGAGGTGTTAAGGACGAGCAACGATTTTTGCATTGCCGTCTCAGCTCCCAGGAGCAGGGGCGAGCGTTCCCCTCGCTGTGCCCAGGGAGAGGGAAGCGAGGAGGGCTGGGGGCACCCGCTCTGCCTTCGCCAGGTCCTGACTTACCAGTCGGTCGCATCCAGCGGCTGTTTGGATCCCCCCACGCCGCAGTAGCAGCCGTAACCATTGTAGGACAGCGGCGATTTCCCGGTCTTCTGCTTAATCATTGAACTGAACTGAATCAAGTTGCAGCCGACGAGGGCCAGCCCTGCGACTGGAGACAGGGGGTTAGGAGCACCGAGAAAAGCAACCTCCTGTCCCACCCCTCCGTAGCAAAACCGAGCGTTTTCACCTGCCCCAACTTTATGGATAGAAATTGCGAGCACCAGGCTTTCCCCACCGCCTCGTCCACCGGGGTGAGAGCTGGCGGAGAGCCGGGGGGGGGGGGGGAGCAGCAAGAAGAGCTTCATGTCTGGCAGTGGCAGCTCCGGTGTTTGGGTGAGCCCGAGGTGCTGCCGGTCGCACCTTTTATGGCCGCTGTGTACCCGCTCAGCAGGGCCCCTCCTTCCAAGAACCCAAAGTGGGCAAATACTGACAATCCTTGCCGTATTGGTCCCGCCACGTGTGCGAGCCTCTCTTGGCGTTGCTGGAGGCCCGGGCCGCGGGATGCCCTACGCTGGGGGAGCCCTTTGCAGAGGAGGTTTCGGTGGACTGGGATGAGTGGGGCAGGCTGGGGTTGAGTCCGTGCACGGCTCTGGGTATCTCAGCATCCCAATGCCTCCCTGAGCGAAATGGGAGAACTCGAGGGAGAACGGGAACCACTTTGTTCCTGGATGACTTAGTTTTTTTCATGTCTTGGTTAGAAAACATGCTGTATCTTACTGTTTCCATCATGACTTCCCTGGGCGGGGAGAAAAAGCAGCCAGTGCAAAGCATCCTCCACTTCTGACTTACCGAAGTGGGTGAGATGCAGCGCTGTGAGCCGAGGAAGGTCCAGCGGCCCTCCAGGACGGGCTGCGGCCGAAGGCAGGGCTGAGCAAAGGCCCCGTGTGCCGGTTTTCTTGTTAGCGGGAGCTTGTCGGCGCCCGGATGCTCCTCGCGTGTGGGGATGCTCCATCTCTTTCCCCGTATGCGCTGGGTGCCGCGCATAGTCTTGCTCTCAAAACGGAGCAGGCAATGCTCACAGACCGTTGCACGGGGCGTCTGGTTCACCTTTATGCAGAAGCGAAATAAGGCAAAGAAAAGGGTAAGGGGAAAAAAAAAAACCTGCAAGTGGTGTATAACGGAAGGGTAAAAAAAGAGGACGGTTATGTCATTTGCTTGGAGAGAATCTCTCATTAAATAGGTGGTGCCGAACAATTGTTTTAGCAGTTTTCTTCTGGCAGAGACTGCGGGCGCACGGTGCTCTGCGCCGCTTTGCGGCGGCCCCCAGTGCGGGCAGGCGCCGAGCCAGGGGGAGGGAATCCCCCCCCCCCCCCCCGTCGCTGATAGGGAAACGACGGCAGGGAACAAGGGTGCGACTTGCGTGGAAATTGGAGAGATGGTGAGAAAAGGGAACTCGGGTCAGGGCTTCAGCAAAATCTCTTCCCCTCTCTGGCACGTGCCGTTTGCCTCGTCAGCTCTCCGGGCCAGTTTCAGTAGACCCCTGGGACGGCGGCGAGTTAATTAGCTGAACCGGGGCTTGCCGTAATTCCAGTTTTTGTCACTGGGGAATAAGGTGTATTTTTGTGCGTCAAACTGGCCGAGCTTCCAGTTGAAAGACTTTCCGCCCCAACTCCTCTACCCGCCGCAGGTTTGCAGCAGCCCTTCTCCAAATGTGAGATAACACCTTCCCCCGGGGCCGAACGCCTCCTGGGAGGATGTGGATTTTGTTTCTCTTTCACGGTATGCGAAACGCAACTTTTGCAGCCCGGTTTATTGCAGTGTACTGAGGGGGTGCAGCATCTGAGCCAACGCACCAGCACTTGGAGCTCAGTATGAACGGATTCGTACAGCCAGGTGTCCAAGCAGAAAAATACATAGATAGTTAAAATTCACCCAGAATTTAAACAGGGACAGTGGGTTTCAGCTCATCCTGGCCTGCCATCTGTCTGCGTGGTTGCCCCTCTCCCATCTCGGCGAGGATTTGATCCTTGATTTATGCCTTGCAAACAGCAGCTGTTGGGCGAAGGGCTGCCCACTCCTTCCTCGTCCTCCCCAGGAGTAAACGCTGCTGGACGAGGAGGGTGGTAGAGCTTGATGCCTGGGGGGGAAGCATTTCTGATTTAAGGGTTATTTCCTGGTGCCGTTGACTTCAGCTTTGGGACAAGCCAGGGTGAGAATTACAGCTGCCGATGCCCAGGGCATCAGCCCCCAGGGGAAACAGCGTCTCGTGGCTGTTTCTGTGGCTGTATTTCATTGCTGAGCCCCACGGGGGTTTGCAGCGCTGGAGATCTCCCGGGGGTCAACCCTGCTGAACTGGTCTGCGGGGCAGAAAACCTGTGCCGTGGGGATGCTACGGTGGGGGGGGGGGAGCAGCCACAGAAAAGCCTGTGCCGTGGGGATGCTACGGGGGGGGGGGGGAAGCAGCCACCGCCTGAACTGCCTTTTCCTAAGGGACGTGCTCGGGGTTGTTGCAGAATTGGGCCAAAACATTCTTTTCTGGTGAGAAATCTGTTTTGCTCTGCGCTGGATGTGAGGCAAGAGCGAGCTCCCGGCCACCCCGTCGCAGCAAAGGTTGCCAGCGCCCGACCCTCCCACAGCATCGCGCCTGCCCACAGCCCCTTCGCCCCAGCTTTGATTTCTCTATCTCGGAGCGACTGCAGATTTTCAGAGCCTGAAGGCTCGGGGCTCAGTGGGGGGGGGCAGTTCAGGGGTGCAGCTGCATGTCGGTGGGAGATGCCTCACCTCTCAGGTGTCATTTTTTTTTCTGGGTATTTCAATGGGAAACCTAGCTAAGAGGTTAGCTTTTCCTCGCCAGGGGTGGTCGCTGGGCTCAGCTGAGTCATGTCACACCGAGGACCGATGTTTTGCGCTCTCTGGTTTTATTTTGAAGCAACAGAAGAGAAA